TATATATATATATATATATATATATATATGGGCCTAATCAAATGATAACTAATTAGTTTGTGGTAACCGTGAGGTCCAATCTCAATCACAAATAAATAGATAAATTAGTAAATTTATAATTAAAATTTTAACGTAAGAACATTTTAGGTATTTTTTCTTCTTTCTCCTCTCTCCCTCTTCTCTATCCGTCCCCCGGGTTCCATCCTCCGGCCACCGTCCTCCGGTGATACTACAGTGGTATCACAATGCATCTTATATGTGCTTGGGTATCACACTGAGGTCGTTTGTGTAGTCGATCGGAGATGTAATACAGTGGTACACAATGTATCTTAGATGTGTTTGGGTATCACACTGTATCTTTTATTTAACAAAGTCAATATTTTTAGGTATCACAGTGGTATCACCAAAGAACGGTGGCCGGAGGCCGAGGATGGTGGTCGGAGCCGAAGGATGGAGGACGGGGGACGGAGAGAGAAGAGAGGAGAGAGGAGAGAGGAGAGAAAAATACCTAAAATGTTATTGGATTAAAATTTTAAATCAAAATTACCAAAATTATAATTTTTCTTATTTATCTATTGATTTGTGGTTGAGAATAGATTTCACGGTTACCACAAACTAGTCAGTTCTGAATGAACCCCTATATATATAAGCACATAAGTTTCCCTTGATAAAGTTGGTATATAAGATTTTTCTTCCACACAAGACCCGAATTCGAACCCCTTTACGTTGCGTTTGGTTTGTCGGAATTTGCCGAAATATGGTGGAATTGGAATGGTCAATTCCGTTGACCAAATTCCATTCCAACAAGGAATGAAATTGAATTCCAAAAATTCCTTCATTTGAGGATTTCACCATTCCTTCCTAAAACTGATGGAATTGAAATCCATTCCATCTAAAAATGTGTAAATGACAAAAATACCCTCATGATTACTGTTTGCTTCCGATTTTTGCTTGCTTTCTTTTGATATACTTATCAAACACCAAAATCAAACCAATTACTGCTTGCTTCCGATTTGTGCTTATCATGCTCTCGACCGATTACTGCTTGCTTCCAATTTCCTCATCAAATATTCAAACAAACCAGATCAGGTTCACTATCGCCAACACTCTCTAAACCCCTTCCATCTTTGAAGCTTCGACCTTGCAACTCCACAAATCTGAAACTATATTTGAGAACAAGAAAAACCTATAATGAAAAACGGGTTCTTCGGTGGTTGTGGCGGCAAC